TCTCTCTCTCTATACCGATTCTTCTAAGAACCTCGTTTCGTTCGAAAGAACGTGCGACATACCAAGCCCAGCTTTACTATTAATTCCTCCAATCTTTCCAATTGCACGAGTAAGCTAGCACAGACTCACGATCTTCGAGCTTCTTCGTTCGAGGGAAGAACCTGAAGGAATCTTGGGAAAGACTGTATAACTGAATCTCACCTCCCACCGATCTTCATACCCTTTCAGTCCATTTCTCGGTCGAGTTCACTGTTACGGAGTTACCAAAAACGATCGAACAACCTCTCGGACGCCTGGATCGATCGCACGAGGCTGGCCCAGTGTCCTTCTTTCACGAGAGAAAATCCCTCAGCGAAGAAGAGATCCGTCCGCGATGTTCTTTATCTTTCTGTTTCTTTTTTTTTTTTTTTTTGTTTTCTGTTTTCTTCCTCGAGCTTGAAAGTATTCGTGCGCATCGCGCGGCTGACGCGCTCGAAAGGCGGATGTTCGCGTTTGAACACAGTCCAACAAACGGGACAAAGGATCGACACGACACCGGCTAAGGACTGCCATAGAGTTCCAATCTGTGTTCAATGGTGTTCCTGATGGGCTGGACAGGACTCGAGGAGACGATTCCGCGCGGATGTGAACACGTGGTGGCGCGAGACACGACGCCGTCGGCGACGCGGTGCTCGGAGACGCGGCGACGCGGCACGAAGGCTTCAGAGTTCGTCGTGCTTCGGCCCGCTGAACTCGTCGTGCGAGATGAAACCGTTCTTGTCCTTGTCCTCGTGCTGGAAAATCTCCTCGACCAGCTTGTCGTGGTCGGCCAGCATCTTCTTCACCTCCTCGTTGTCGCCGGCGCCGCCCTGCTCCGCCTCGATCATCTGCTTCCTCAGGTACTCGCTCACCTGCACGGACGAACACAGCGTGTTAAGTTTGACAAGTTCGGTCAATTAGACTTCTCCTCGTCTTTTAGTTTCAGAAGGTATCTGTTGCGTGAATGAAACGATTGTTCGAAACTTTAAATCCATAACCGTGACAATTTAGGTTTAAACTATTTAAATTAATTTTAAACTTTTCAATATTTCTACTCGTTTCTGTTAATCTTTAGTTTTTTGGAAGGAATATTTGTTAAGTGAAACGATCGTTCGAATTTTTGAATTCATAATTGATGTTATTGGACCGCAATAATTCAGGTTCAAGTTATCTAGTTTTTAAAATTTTCAATCTTTCTGTTCATTTCTGTATCTTTTTATTTCTAGAAATGAAATGATTGTTTTTTTATTTTTAAATTCGATGTTATCGGAATAATGTAATAAAATTTAAGTTTAAATCATTGATATGCACCAAAAGTAAAAAATAAGATGAAAATAGGAAAGGAAGGATTCGAAGCTTCGTAACAACGTGTTTCAAGCTGTCTTAAACATATAAATTCGGGCGAGCGTGTCTCTATTTACTTAAATAATTCTCTCCTTCTACAATAAACCGAGAGCGATGAAAAATGCTCCGAACTATGTCTCTAAATGTACTTTCCACGCAATATATTCACGGCTAAAACGCTGTCAGTCGCACAATATTTTAAAATGATTAAAACGTATCTCTATGCGTGAGAGAATAAAATGCGAAAAAAAAAGATAGCAAAGGATTAGTCACTCATGTTTGTCACACGTTGAAAAGAGTGAACAGGGGTAAAACAAAAAAAAAAAAAAAAAGATATAACGTTACGAGTTTTACGTCCCTTTTCCTGAACACAATGCGGGCACATGTTAATCCTTTACACTTGCATGCCAGAGATAAAGCTCGTAGCAAGCGATGCCTGTGATTGGCCCAACGCTTTGATCCGTACAAATTTTATGAGACGAAGCAGAACCGTCGGAACAATTTTTTTCCATCAAACAGCATATATTTCGAGCGAGAAGGGGAAACGGCACGACGAGAAAGGATTCGTTAATCCTCGACCATTGCGCTTTGTCAATAATAGAACGAAGCTTCCCCCGAATTGCACGGGATCTCTCTGATTTTTAATTTCTCAGGGTCTTTGATCGTTATCCGCAAATGGAATTATGTGATCAACATCGTGAGAGCAACACCGTTGTAATTTTTTTGCGCCGTTGATACTTTTCTTCAATTCTTCTTTGGCAGGTTCTTGTTTAAAGTTCTTATTTAAAGAAATCCCTCCTTAGGGATGTACCATTCCTTTGGTTGGATTCATCGGAAATATGAATTTGCACGAATATATGAACAGTCTAATGGGAAATGCCAGAAGAGTCTAAAACTTACGTTGCTTGTGCAAGCTCGAACGTTCAAGGGTTAATTTGTACGTTACGTTAAATTACATTATATGTTACGTTAAATTACATTTATGTTAGAACCATCACCGCGGACGACCCTTAGAAAGAAAAAAAAAAATGAAAGAGATCTTGCCATTGCTCTCACCTCCTCGCGGGACAATTGGTTGTCGTGGTCGCTGTCGATCTCTTTGAACACGTTCGCGGTTGGCGGAGAGTCGCTGATATTGATCAGCTCAACTTCGAATAACAAAGTAGCACCTGCAACCAGAAATAACACAATTTCGTTAAAATTTTATCAGTCTAACAGATATCCTTATTTTCATATTATTTAACTCTCGGAAATTTATATCTCGTAATTTGTACTACATTATTAAAGTCTTGAATATTTAACTTTACTTTGCATTTTTTATTCTTCCCAACGGAGACTAGCGGTAAAATTATAAACGAAATGAAAAGCTCCAAAAGTCCAAATTATTACTATCTTCAATGCCCAATTTGTACCATTTGGGGGTGAATATTTGAACAACCAGGTAACCATTTTACAACTAGCAACTTAGACAAGCACGAACCAGAAATTTCTTCGCAGCGTTGAACAGTCTCAGCCGCTCTTAAATAAAACCGAGACTTGGGCTATTTCCCGAGACTCGGGATCCCTAAATTCCCTTCGATACGACACTGCACTCAGAGAGAGAGAGAGAGGTCCTTTTCCTCGAGCCTATACAGCGCGAGGAGAGCCCGTGCTAATAAAATATTTCACGATACTGCCGGGAGAGAGTAACAGCCCTCGTTGTCGAACACGTTCCAAGAAGTTCCCACTCAGACTTGCAAACGCCTCGTTGGCAGACGGTGGTATCCGTTTTTCGAGGGGACACCGAGGAGAATCCTCGGTGAAATTCGCGTTCGCGCGATGCCGGGGATTCTTTTTCGGCTAATGTCGTTTAAACGTCCTCGAGGTATAAAATCAAGATAGGAATCGAGGCAAGGTGGACGAGGAAGAGGAGGAAGAGAAGCAGCAGCAGAGAAGACGAGATTTCTTTCAATCAGCCGCGTTGATTTTCCATTATGTTTCGCTGATCCTGTCGAACTACCGGCCCGACCGCATTGATTGACCGAAACCCAATAAAAATCCAATACGTCTCTGTCAATGCTGACGAAAGACGATTGCCGTGGCTTTTCTATTATTTGCTCGTCTGCCGATCTATAGCGCTGCTGCGCCACGTGGATGAAAAAAACCTGACTCGCGTCGTCTCTTTCCTTCGTGAAAAGAGACGCCAGTCGTGCATGACGGTCATCTTATCGCTGACGTTTAGTATTAATGGCGGTTGATCTCGTTTAAACGAGAGATATCGAGAACGTCAGGTCGAATTAGGAATTATTGGGTTGAATAGAAGAAATCGTATGTCTAGGAATTACGAGAGTGATGAATAAATCTGGATATAAATGAGCTTGCCTCGTTTATGTCAAGACTGTACTTATAAAATTTCTACGAATTCTGGCCATTTTTATCATTCTGGTAGTTTTCATCTAACCGATTGATCTGTATATCTCAGTATTTTTCTCATGTAAGATATTTATGTACAGTTTCATGGAAATTTTTGGAAAGAATTCGAAACAGTACGATTAATTGAATGATTATCACATGCATCATTGATTCTCCTTAAACAAACAAAGAATGAAATTGACGAAACTACGAGGGCTGATGAAAATCTATCTGTAAATCGTCCAAAAAATAAATATATACAATTTATCAAAGCATGTTATGAATAATCCACAGCACAACCAGTGATCACGGAAAATAATATACTCGACACTGTCAATAAATTCTTGGAAACGAAATCCTCGTTAAAAAAAAAAAAGAAAAAATAGATAGCAAATCTATCGATCCCTTCATCCTGATTAATGCACGTGCTGCTGCTTTCTCGAAAAGCGTGCCGCATCGTGTAATTATTTAGAATAAACGCACGTCGCGAAATCGACAAGCTGTCAATTGCTTTTTCATCGGTTTAATACAGCGCGAGGAATTTTTGACGCCAGTTCGCAGAACACAATGCATCATTAATGGCCACAGAAATACAATCAACCCTCGAAACTTTTATTATTCACTCGAACATTTTTCACCTGATATCTCGTTACGATAACATGCCGCATGCACTGATGATTCCCTTCAGAGGTAAAACGAGAGAAATTCCTCAAGAATATTCCGACATCGATCAAGCTGTAATTATTACTTCGTCAACATATCGAGGGTAACGCGATCATCCTCCGTGATGGTTATATAAATTTTATTTAGTAAAAACTAATGAATCGAACTCAAGGATTCAACTCTGCTCTCAATTTCCTAATTAACTGCGTGAAATATTTGTTCGCCGTTGAATAAATGAAGTATGGAGTCGATCGATAAGTGCTCCCTTCAAATATAATTTCGGCCGCGTATACTTTCTCTTTTTTTCTTTTCTTTTCTTTTCTGCAAATACCATCTCGCTCGTGGTGTTTTACGTTATCAATCTGTCGTAAATCATCCCCGGTGGTGTATCGATCGGCCTAGATACCGAGGAACATTAAGCCACTTATACTTCATTCGCTGTAACTGATAAGCGACCGAGAGGGTAGTCTTCGAAAGCCGAATTTCATCTGCGTTCATGTCTGACGATTTATCGCGAGGAATTTCCTTATCCCAAGGAGATAATATACGAGAAATACGTTTAGGGAAATTGGTGGTATTATTAGAAATGTAAGAAAAAAAGAAGAAAAAGAAGGAAACGTAGTGTAGGATATAGGATACAGAACTGTGTCGCGCGAGATGTGGGAAAAGGCATATGGAAAATGTTCTATAGAGTGAAGGGGATGGGACGAGGAGTATTGGATTGGTAATATGAGATACAGGATATTAGATAGGATATATGAAAATTCGAACGCGGGATGGAAACGTTACTAGTGGAAATTAGGACAAGAAACGAAACTCGTGAAAGATGAACTGTATATGACAATGTGAAGTGAAATATTAAAAAAACTGTCTATACTATATGAGATAAAATGTCCGTCGCTCCACTTATATAAATTAAATTATTTACGACTACACAGCACTTTAACTCTCTAGCCATTTAATCGTCATACCTCAATAAATAATTTATTACTTATTGAGGCGTGTTATGAGTCAGCCAGTTTACGAGATCGTCTCGTGTAACGCGATCGTGTACTAAAACCGATATTAAAAAAGAAAAATGAGCTCGTTAACGTGCGTTCAATTATCAGAGCGCTGCGACGATATTCTACGAAATCAATTTCATCTCCACTCATGCCCAATCTACGCGTGTTACACAAAATTATGAATTTCTGTGTTGTTAAAATAACCTTAACTCGAGGTTAAACCTTAACTTCTGGTTCGAAGCCCAAAGGTTTAAGCATCAAACTGTCAAAGCTGCAGCCTCAAAGCTCGAACTCTTAAACACGAAGATTCGAGCTGTCTAATTATCGTACACAACGACGATTATGAACAATATCGTAGACTGTCGAATGTCACGTTTGTCGATGATAGTATTATATTGCTCACGAAATGAACTTCAATAACTTTGTGAGCTGAGCTTCGTGTAAAATTAGTCTTAAAGGCTCAGCCTTCAAGGTTGAGTCTCGAAGCCTCGGGGAGAGGACAGAATTGCAGCACAAGCTTTATTTTGGACGACGGTGTACTTTTATCGACGCCGATATGATCGGTCATGCGGCGAATTCTCGGGAAATTCAATGAACATCGGGCGCACGGTACGCTCGCGTGCAACGGCGCATATTTCGTATTAATTATGGACGGTTCTATCGTGATTAAACCGTAACCTAATGAAATATACCGCTTAATTATTCACTACTTAAACTGGCTGTAATTAATACAGCAGACAATGTGTTTCGTCTAATGGAAAACCTCGCTGAAATTTAGTATTTAACGACCAGGCCAGTTGATCAGCTGGAATTAATGATTCGAAAAAATGACGACGAATTAAAATTTGAGCGAGGAATTTGAATTACGTGGAATTATGTTATATCGTTTCTTTCCCTTCTCGAGCGTTGAATTTTAATATTGCGAGGAATTTTCGCAAAAATATCGAGATATTTATAATTGCGTTACTGAGGCTCTGGTAAAATTTAATTAACAGGGAAATGAATTAATGTCATTTATACTGATTTTCTACATTTAAAATTTTAAAGTGCAAAACTACGCAGAATATCTAAGATACATAGTGCTTTCTAAGTTCTATCTTTTTCGTTGTATTCTTAAAAATATGAAATAAAAATAAAAAATATGAAAATATGAAAATTCGTACTCTACTGATTGCAATGAAATATCAAAGGGAATATCAGAAAATCTACACTACAAGGATAGTTGTTTACAGTGAAAATTACTTCCGAAAGTCGCTGGTCGTTGCACTATTAATTACGCCCCCAATTCACGAACTGCAAATGTGTTGATCTAAATTTTATTTAGATTCCACGTGCGTGCCCAATAGAATCTTTACCGCAGAAATTTCATCTTACAATCTTTACCATCCGCAAATTTTAATTTACCGAAAAAGAGAAGAAAAAAGGAAAAAGAAGAGGAATAACATTCGAGTGGAAACAACGGTTACTTTCTCAATTTCTTCAGCGTAACAACGGTAAACGCTGGAGAAGTTTCTTTTCCTCGCAACACCGACGACAGATGGAAATCAAATTTCTTTTGCACGCAATTTCCTCCCTCTTGTTCTCTGACCCCTTCTCCTTCTTCTTCTCTTTCGCCCTACGGCGTTTCTCGCGCCGAGAGAAAACGATTTTCCTCCTCGCGGATCCAAGAAATCTGAGACCACCCTCTCCGTTTCGAACAATACTGCGACAAAACTATTTTCGTTTGTGGCTACCAGCCCACTCTTCCTCCCCTTAACCCGGAAGTCCTCGTACACGAGTTAACGTTGCGCCGTAACCGAAATAACCGGAGTAACGGAAAAAGTTAATCATCCCATTGTTCTCCGTCTCGCGCGTGGAAAAGGAACTGCGGGAGAGAAAGGAGGAACGATTCGAATTAATCTGTATTTAAACGCGGACAATGGCACGCGACTGCTCGCTTTAAATTGCTCAACATTTTTATCGCGGCGCAGAAACGGGTGGGGGATAATAGTTACGCTTAGAATTGTTCGCCAGTGCGTGGTCAAATTTACGAGGACTCGCTATTATCCTGTTTGGAGGATGAAATGGGATTGCGGATCCGCGGAAGGCTTCGGCTGTTACAGCTAGCTAGCTATTCCATTGAACAATATAATACATATATAATACATATATAATACATATATTCTCACGTTGGTGTATTTTGCGAAAGAACTATTCAATTCTAAATGTTTGATAAGGAGATTTGTCAAGGAGAAGTATTATATCATTATTGTATTTCTTGTCTTACGATAATACCTTCCATGCATATTTAGTCTTTAATTAGTGTCAGAAGAGAATGAACAACTTCTTTCTAGTGTTTAATTCATACTGCATGAGCACATAATGTGCTCAACAATGTTTTTCTGACAATGAGTTCATACAATTGGTATTAAAGGAGATGATGCTTACTGAAATTAGTTTGTAGTAAAATTGAATGAAATTTATTTTCGAAACCGAAGAAAAGTTTACGTTTTTTCGAGCATAGCTGATAGAACCTCAACTCCGTTTGAAACTTGAAAGGATATTTCAAGAGACATTACTTTTTCACTTCAAGCAGAAATTTCAGAAAATACACATTTCTTATACAATTAACTGAGCGATTCACATTGAGCAAGAAGATTGAAACATCCAAAATTTCTTGCAATCGAAGGTCTTCTCATTAAGATAAAAAGCTTCAAATCCGTTCAGTTGTAAACATTAATCGCGAACATATTAATTCAATTAAGTTAAATATCCCCAAGTCTGGTCGCGATAATCAGCTTCCCCCCTTTTTTTCTTTTGCGAGAGATAATCGTTATCGAACCGTGGCGGGGACACATTGAGAAGAAACACATAGGGAAGTTAGTTCGCGAACGAAGTGACTTTAAAGAGCTTCAACAAATAGTCCTGGCTTTCACCTTGCCGCAACGTAAATGTCGCGTCGCGCAAATATTTTTCACAAAGGAGACGAGCGAGCCCACGTTGGGCCGCCGAAGAAGTTAATTAACCATAAAACGCATAAACCGCAGTTACCCTCCCCCGCGCCCCCCGCTGCAAAGCCCTCGAACGTTGTAACTTCTCGTTACACGTTCTTCCGCAACAAAGAGCCACAGACGGCAGTCTGACTGCGGGGAGAAACCGTGAAAAATCTACCTGGCAAACGAAATACGCGCTCGTCGTTCTCGATTCTGCGCCGTGAGAAGTTGAGAACGGTCCTTTGTCGTTAGAAAGTTTATTAGGATTGTTTTCAAAATAATGGCCAAGAATGGAACAATCGTACCCGAACGAAAAGTACAGTTTCAGCAGCATGAGATCGATCGATGGACAAATTTCCAGGAACTTTTCGAACGGATTTCTGAAGATTGTAATTTTCGAATGAACAGAGATTGACTGACAGACAAGGTGTTAAATTTTCAAAGGAATTTCCAAAGATTCTCAAGACGTCAGTTTGCGAAACGAAGAATGAATTCATCGTCATTCTCAATCCGTGACGTTCAAGTTGCTGAAATAGTTTCACTTCGGCACAGAAACAATTATCTTGAAAATAAAACAATTATCTTAATGATTAAAAGCGTAGATTAAAGCGAGAAATCTCAAGGAAAGGTACGAACCATTTATGATAGAAAGTCTGGATGATGGCAAACATCAAATGGCATCATATGGCAAAACACATTTAATGAACGAGTAGGAATCAAGGAAGGTAATACCTTCCTTTTTTCTTCGTTCTCTTGCTTTCTTAGCTGGGATTTTAATTCCTCCAATTCTAAAAGTTCGCGCAAGAAAAATTTCAGTGTATTTGAGAGACATCATCGAGTCGACCGCACTCTTTGCCAATAAAAAGGCAAAGTCTCACTAGAAAACGTGGAAACGATCACGACTGAAGATATATATGCATACATTCTAGGCATCTATCGGCTAACTTTCGATTTATCTAACCCGAGAGCGTTCCCAGAGAGATTAAAGAGAGAGAGAGAGGAGGAGAGAAAGAAAAAAAAATGAGCGAACGAGCGTCGCTGTTGATACAGCCGGGCCAGCCCGGGATGGCTAGTGCTCGATTTAATGGTTGACGCTTTATTGGATTTCCGTGCAATTGCATTTTTTAGTCCGATTTCGTTACTAACGATCCCCTTTTGTATCGATTCGTCCGTTGGTCCCGTTCATTTGCCACGGAGAATCGATGGAACGCCCCACGGATAATTCGAGGAGCGTTGAGCATTAAACTGGAAACTTCTCGCCGTTGAAACCGTCGCAATTTCCCGCTCTTTATGCTGCTTGTTGACAAGCGTCTAACGCGAATTCTTAAACGACGGGATTGCCGCAATTCACTCGAGCTTTCGCCACGTTTTATTTTATCTATCGTCGATTGGACGAAAGCAAGTCCCTTCTCGAAAGGCGAAAGTTCCTTCTGATTCCATTTAATGATAATTGTCGCTGGTACAATTTTAATCTGAAAGGTTTTCGAGATGTAACAACGAAGTATGTGTTAATCTGCATTTGTGAATTTTAATTATGGCGTTCAATTTAGTAGAAAAATATATAGAGAAAAATTAGAGAGTTTTTATAGGGCAGTAATTTATATTTAATTAATATTTCACTATCGATGATCAACAAATTAAATACTCTATAGATAAACGTAAAAATCTATTATACTTCATAAAATGTTAGAATTAAAATGTTACTAACCAACTACAATATTGATGTTTGTTTTTAAATTTCGTGAATTTAAAATTTATGCATTTACCAAATAAATTCCATAGTTCATGTCATTTATACGACATACATATACATTCAATTATCAATTATCAATTAATAATTATATCACCTGACATTGTGTGTTATTTAAAAGTTTGAGATATTTTAGAAATTGACGATTGAATCTTAATTGGGCCATTGGGAAGTGTAAAAATTTAGTCGATCTTGGAGTTTTTAATTTCATGGAATTTTCTTATTAATTTCTGCCACGAGGAACATGAAGTACAAAATAAAATGAAATATCTTATATTTTAATAATCCAACGCGAATTATCATAGTCGTCTATCACTTGGGGGTTAAAAAATTTTTTGACTTTTAATAGAGTTAAATTATTATCAATATGATTAACTGTTAATAAACGTGTAATCAATGAGTAAATTCTATTTCCTTACATTCATTCAACGCGTATATTAATTAAATTTCCAAAGCTCCGGGATTACAACTTTATGTTAAAATACAATCCTCTATTAGTTCGATACGCATAAAAGGTTCCAAATAAATTTGACGTGCGCAGCCATAGGAAAAGATTACTTATCATGAAATATGTGTTTCGTTCATTAAAGCGCTATACAAAAATTTAAATATTCAATTTCGCGAGTAATTAATATTTCCTGCTACGATTATTATTATCAAACATAAATAACGTCGAGATAGTTGAAAACATTTAATTTGGTCCTTTAGTTGTAGGCGAAATTGTACCAAAACGAGGAAACGTTTATTTTAAATGTGAAAAGACAGGATAATCGTGAAAATATCGGAGTATTTTCACTGCAAACAGAATCATGCCCTCCGCAGTTAATAGCTTAAATTTCTACGTGTATAAATTTCTTAATTATCAACTTTTGTTCATTTAAACTGCTGCTTCAATGAACGCAGAAAATGTGCGAACTTCTCGAAAATGAGAAATTGTGGCAAATTTATATTTAATTTATATTCGTAAGTATTTGCGAAATAGTTCGCAAATGTATCCGAACAATCGAAGACATTAGTATTATATATGTGTTGTATAAAATATTAAACTTCGCACATAATAATGAGGATTGGATCACTATTGGAACATATTGATAAAATTGCAGACAAATTTGAACATGTGTGTAAAGGCTACAAAATATATGGCGTATGGATAACAAAAATATTTAAACAGTCAAATATCCATTGTATTAACCTATTGAGCACTAAAAGTAATGATAATGAGATTTTTCAAATAGGTATACAAATAAATAATTAGTATCTTAGAGATTAAATTGTGAATTACAACTTTCATCTGCATTTTCAGATTGGTTTCGAATTTTACCAATATTATCATAGCTCGAACCTGTCTCGTTGCAGGGCCAAAGATGAAATTTCAAAGAGAGAATGTCACAGGACTTTTCTGACTTCGCTCGTATCGCGAATTCAGGCTCACGGTGTTATTTCATTCGTATACGCGTGTCCCTTGCTGGTAGATATATCGGACAGCCATTAAAGCGATTGTTTATCGCGGCCTTCGAGAAAAAGTAATTTCTATCGGACGGAACAGAAAATAATAAGAAACTTCAGACGCAGCGAACGTCGTAAGAACGTCGACGGGGGAACAATCTTACCTCCAGGAATTACGTTTCCGGCTCCTTTCTCCCCGTATCCGAGTTCCGGCGGTATGGTCAACTTCCTTTTTTCGCCCACGCACATATCCACCAATCCCTGGTCCCAGCCTTTAATAACTTGGCCAACTCCCAGCTGGAATGTGAACGGCTGATCTCTGTCCAAACTGTAACAGGCAATAAACGGGGATACGTTTTAAATACCGTTTCGCCGAGGATTCGCGATAGAACGCGGACAATTTCTACGACGAGAAATCGTGGCCGGACGTACGCGTTTATCTTCGTTTAATTTTGTACTGATTCATTGTACCGTGAGGCTCTCAAATCGATACACGAGCTTCTTGAAAGATCAAAATCGATTTAAACTCTCCACTTGTCAGAAATTTTCTCTGATTTATCTAAGCAGTTACTTGGCAATTACGTAGTTGGTAATTCAATTTCTAAGAAAAGAAAAAAGACATAGCGCATAATATATATATATATATATATATATATATATATATATATATATATATATATATCGTATATATATATATATATATATATATATATATATATATATATATATATATACTATATATTTATATATATATATATATATATATATATATATATATATATATATATACTATATATATATATATATATATATATATATATATATATATATATATATATATTCGTAAGTTTATTTGTCTCCATTAAATTGAAAACTTGTAAATAAGACGAAAGCAAGTATTGAAAATATTCCAAACCATCACTTCTTTTTCTATTTTCTAACCTGAATTTGAATTATTATCATTAAAATTTGATAAGATCGCGCGAACGAACGAATTATTAATTATGAAATCAAATTAAATTACCTACTGAAAAACGGTTTTTTTTTTTTTACAATTGAAGAATTATAGTTTACAAAGATGGGATATAAAATGGAAACAAAGATCTGGAAATAAAATAATTCCGCAAAGTTTCGGGATTACCAGACTGACTTTCAAAAATTAGTTTAAACCCTATCTTTTGAAAAGAAAATGAAACAAATTCACTCTAAATCGATGTAGTCGTGATTTCGTGGTGAAAACGAATTTAATAGAAATAAGCAAATGTCTGAATATTTAGGATAAAAATTGATTTTTATCTTCCAACGTCCTAGTATGCTAATTGCAGTTTAGCCTGATACTTCCATTCCGTATACATCAAAATGCAATCTCGTGCATGACGTAGACGTTCCAAAGGTTGTCCCGTTTCACTAAAAACAAGGATCGTGCTCTGGCTGTTCCATTGAACATCAGCCACTCTCCTCGACAAGATGTTACAGCCATGCACGTGGTCTCAAAGGACGTCCAACCGATCTTCGTCATCCCTTGGAGTAGACCAGCTACAGGGCGATTAATCTCCCTAGGAGAGGAAGGAGGCACCGGGAAGATCGATCACGTCAATTTACACGATTCATCCAAATGGACAAAAAGTCATTTTTATACCGCATTGTATTTAATCTGATGGATGAAAATTCTCTGGAAAATCCGGATTCTTATAGACGCGACCAATCAAACTGAGATTGAAAATTAGGATGAATACTGACCAGTTTGTGCATCATGCGAATTCTCTGCGCTATCGGATCTTTCAATTTTATAGAGATTCATTAAAATTCGCCGTCTAGTTATTGTTTCCCTTTATACTTCTATCTGGGAATATTGAAGTGTTTATTTTTCAAATACGCTACGTATTAAGTGTCTTTTAAAATTGTTCTTATTACTGTCAATTCTTCAAGAAAGAATTCACGTAGACGGTGATTAAGCATTTAAAAGTAATAACAGTTGAAATTGGATTCACATTGGCTTTCAAGGGGGAATTCGACTTAAATTGTTCATTGTAACGTTGAATTCACACGGCGATATTCCCAAGGACTTGTACGCCGGAAGGCAGACGTACGCCTACCATCGATATTTCCCGTGAAAAAGGTTGCGCCGTGAAAGTGTCAATTCGATGCAGTCTCGTAAAATCGAGTTCACGTATGCCAGTCGATCGTTTCACGCGTTCCGACAACGAAAATTGACAAGCTCATCGGTTGACTGACGCAGCAAGACGGAAAGAACGGGGAATAGAAAGATAGGGAAACGAGCACGAGAATTGAACGCGACGATTGTGTAGAAACGAG